GTAGGAATGCGTATAGAGAACCCCGCTAAGGTGATGATTTATATCTTCATCAAGGAATACTTGATAATGGATTTTCCCCTCAATACAAATAATCAAGTAATGAGTTCCGAATTGCAATTATCGTAAAAGTGCCAGACGACGGCCGTTCTCTGGCACTTACCTAAAATTGTAATATCGAAGACACCCTGTTAGTACATCAATTACAACGTATATTGGCCGTAATATAATGGTCAAGTAAGTCTGGACGTTATCGTTACCCGTTTTACTTTTCCTATTAGCAAATTTATAAAAATTTTGTACAGGGTGGCCAAATAAGAATGCGAGGTACTGTATCTGGGAACCTGTCCATCGTAGAGGCTTGCGGTAAAAAAAGTTACATACTAAAACGGCCACGAGAAAAACCTGGAAAATGTTTGTGAAATGGCCTCTAGGGGGCGAAACTGCAATTTGGAATCTAAAAGAGCCATGTTTCTGATATCGCATATAAAGATGCCGTTTTCGCGAGCTTGTTTAGGCATCATTTAGTTACTTCTTCATGAAAATAAAACTAACCAATATATTTTGTTTTGAGAAAATTAACCATTTCTGTCGGAATGTCGAAAAAAGCCCTCAAGCGGCGGTATGTGAAACTAACAAAACTTCAAATATTACAATATTTGTAGCCGAAGAATAACTCTTTTCAATTAACCCGAGTTTGTTAAAATCGTTTCGGCCGTTTCGAAGATACAGGGTGTTCTTTACGGGAAACCTTTGAATATCCCCCACCACTTCATTTTTAGAGATACAGCAATAATTGTCAAACAAAAAGGTTCAGATTATCATCGACTTCAAAGACCGGGCATTTTTTTTGTGAGATTAATATAGGGAATTCACAGAAACATCACTTTTTAGCCTCCAGATTGCAGTTACGCCCCCTAGCGGCCATTTCACAAACTTAAAAATGTTTTCCAAGTTTTTCTCGTGGCCTCTTAGTAATACCTTTTTTTCCGCAAGCCTCTACGATGGATAGGTTCTCAGATACAGTACCTCGTATTCTTAGTTGGTCACCCTCTACACATAGCACATATTTCGATGCACTTGTTTCAAAGCGAATTATTATTTATGTCAAAGGTCCTTCTTGCATTTTGTAACGGGAGCCCGTTAACGGATTTTTTATTTAAATTTGTACGCTTATGACTTTGTAAATCCGTTTGAAAGCTTGCAGCGCCGGTGCGTCGTGGGATATGGTGTGATTAGTTCAAGTTACAGAAAACTTTCTGTTTATCTTGCAATCGTCGTTATGGGAGCTGCTGCGTAGCGTGAGTTGTGAGGAGTCGGCGGAAAATTGCTCCACGTCTTTCGTGATATTAAATTCAACAACTTTATGATGCAAAAATAACTAAATTTCTATTCAATAGCAATGCAATTTAATCAATTCAGAATGCAAATCGGGTAGCATGAACAAATTCTTCGGAACAGAAATAACGTCACTAAAATTGTAGATATTTCGGTAACAAAAAAAAAGTTCATAAAGCAAGGTTAGCTAAAATCTTAAAGAACATAGCTAGTCGGAAAGATACAATGTATTCAAACTAACAGAAATGAATCTTCGTAGTAATCAGAAAAAGTAACCGTAGGCAAAAGCGGGTCTCGATATCGGGAAAGTCAAATCTTCAGTAGCGACAAAAACAAAGTATGTAGGATCAGGTATAACGGATCGATTTACAAGAGTAGTAGTCTCCAACGTTTCTTTAATTTTCCTTGCGCAATACAGTGAAAATTCAAAATTCGGTGGTTTGCACTCAGGAATATCGATATAGCAACAATCCGGTACGTAATTATGAAGAAAAGAGTAAGCCAGAACTAAAAAACCTAGAAAATGATTGTTCGAAGCCAAGGGTAATGCGTAATTTACCGATAACGTCCTTAGAAGTTGTAAAATATATCCCCAAATGCGCCAGAGAAGTGTCGAAAGCAAAATAACAAAAGAAAAACTTCACTAAACTTATACAGCCACAATATATCCCAAAAAGGCAAACAATTGTAGAGTAACAAGGCTTATACGTTCTTCTAAAAGTAATGAATGTGTTTTGTACAACGACGTGCGTGCGCCGAAAGAAATTAAAGAACTCTGCACGACCTCCGCCGGTGAAACAAAGAACTCTTATAATGATCAGATAACACCAAAAGTAAAGAACTAATGTAATGAGAAACAGTTGGAACAAATTTAGTACAGGAACACCTTGCATCTAAACTAGTAGATTACAATATAAATACCTAGATGGCGTAACAATATCAAATTTACATTAGAGTAAGAACGCTTTTTGGAGCGAAGGCTTTTGGAGAGATATTGTAAAACAATTTGGAGAGAATTTGAAGAGAGGGTATTGGGATTTTAAAGGCACGCTTAGCAAATGTGGGAGAGGCTCTTAAAAGTTCTTGAAGAGATAGTGAGAGGGCGTTCAAAGAGTCTTTGAAACATTAAAAAAAAATGTTGACATATTCAACCGACATTTTGAAAAGAGTACCTCAAGAGATATTAAAGATTGTTAAAGGGGTTATGTTCGGATATTTTGAAGAGATTTGGAAGATTGGTAAGAAATTTTTAATATACTGATATAAAAAGGTTATGAGGAAATGTTGGTCAGATTTCGATAATAATTTTAGTATATTTTGAACAAGCCCTATAGATGTCCGAAGAGATGATATCGACATTGTGCCCTTTGCGATTTTACAATTTTTTTGTCAAAATTCCCAGACGAAAGGGCGTGCCCGAAATGGGGGTGCGAAAAAATTCTGATTTCGACAAAATTTGGTATCTGGGACACGAAAATCACAAATCTGAAATTAGTTTTTGAAAATTTAAAAAAAATTCCACTGCAATTCTTGGCCGGGCAACGGAAATGGAGCGAATTCTAAAATCTGTTGTACATACTTGAGTTAATGAACAACATTGTCGGAACAGTTCTTATTTAATCACTCTTTTGAAAATTGGTCCTCTCGATCACCCAATGTTGTTTTAGATACTCGTACAATTGCTATGTGCACTGATCGTTGTCATTATGAATGAAACACATGGAAATTAATGTGAAAATTACAAAAGTGCGTTTTAATCTCGACACACAAGAAGAAAATGGTACAAAAACACAAACTAGGCTGGCTTATTGGTACTGCCAAAGCCAAAAACAACAAAAAAACACAAACAATTATTACAAATAGACTAAAATTATGACTTAACTACTTAGATTACTCGTCCGGGAATTGAAATATACAATAAAAAAGGTATCCGTACACAGTTCACAAAAATTAAAATTTCAATTAACACAATGACAATGACAAATGACAATGGCAGCATCTTCTCTTTGTGTAGACAAGGACATTCACAATAAAACTCAACTTCAAACTGAGTCACATTCAAAAAAATCTTAGGAAGCGGCGACAAATACCTCTCCTTGCAGCAACTTTGATGGTAAAAACTTTGCGACAATCCTCCAACCCGTAAGACATAAAAAACTTCTTCAATCTTCAATCTCACATTGAACGAAAACTTTCAATGCTGGCTGTGGCTCCAAATGAATAATAAACTGACCGTAAATCAACGAAGCGAATAAATCTTCAACGGAACGTAATTCCGCTGTCAACGTGGTAAAAAGCCGAATTAAAAATTTCAATTAAACGTAGTTCTGCGTAGACTGGGGACGCTTTTCTTGTTAATGTCCTATTTAAGGCGAATCCCTTCTTCCGATAATAAAAATTACAACAACTCATCTTACACAACACAGTTGACAACAAAGAGAGCAACAAATCTATCCTAGCAACGCACGTAGGCCAACGAAAGTAGAGATAGATTCTTTTTTCTAAATCAATTTGTTATCAGACATTTAAGAGATAAATTCCTACTTTAATTCTAGGAGAATTTCACTTCTATTAACATGTAAGGCGATAAATGACATCTACCTGTCAATTAAATTAAGCATTTACATTTGATAACAGATAAAGACCCAAAAATTTCTGCGTTTAAATAAAATTTAAACAAAAACAATCTTGGCCGCTCTCATGTATAACACAATAATCTCTATGCCATTACATAGACCAGCGACAATTAATAAAATTTAATTACGAATGAAATAATTACACGAAAGGGGACCGCCCTGTCCATCTTAATTAGCATTTCCGAAAATTTCATCCTGTCGGACGAAATCAACACAGCAATATACGTAACACCCTGTATATAACCAGCGAATAGTCGCTTACTAGACTCATAATAATAAACACCATATTCTCGTAGATCAGGGGCGCGCTATAATTGTGTCCGAATTTTAAAAAAACTTCATCAATTTTTACGAAAATAAACAATGTGTCGAGTTTTTGCTATCGCGAAGTAGTTCCTAATCAACATTTTTCGAAAACATACAATAGCGTGAACTTAAATCTGCATTACACTGAACCACATTTAACCTAACAAAAGCGCACTCACAATAAATACACAGTCATTTTACAACAACAAATGAAAAGGAAGTAGTAAATTGTTTTATGCATGGACGCGCTAAACATATTAGAAAAAGTTATTCGAATTCTCACGGGATTTGTATATTATATACAATGTCTTCCGAATATTAATTGGTTCCACACGTTAGAAACCGGGAGTCGCTTTAATGCAGGTAATAAAAGAGGTTCGTTTAATTACTAATTACCGACTTAAATATTTGGCTAAATCGTAAAGTCGTCGTCCGATTACTCGAAATGACACGGTTTACATTGTAAGAAGAATAACGTGAACAGTCCTAGAAGCATAAAACCGAGAGTTATTATATTTTATATTGGATCGTAAACATTTACCTTTATTATCCCACCAAATAAGTGTGTATAATACTAATTTATGATTAGTAATCTCGAAAAAATTAAAGTAGTAGTCGTTATATAAACATCAACGGTAGCGAGGAGGGTCATATAATCTCAAACATACAATTACGTAATTTGAACAAGCCTGAAATTCATTTATAAAAATATATCCAACGTACCTTAGAAATAAGCCTAGGGTTGATCCAAGCCGTTTTAACATCATTATCCAAGAGCTTATATGAATCCTTTGAGATAAGTTTCGGTATGTCTGATCCAACTGACGAGGGATGAACTTTTGTATTCTGCTCTCTCGGACGTGAAGATCTGAAACGATAGAAATTTCAAACTTTAGTCGTTTTTAAATGACTATTAGGCCGAAAACAAAACTTTCAATCGTGTTATGTAAGGAAGTGTGCACGTGCACGAGAAAATCAAATCGGGTTATTTATTTAATCCGATGAAAATGAAATCAGTTTTATCAGCCCACAGACATAGTTTATGGGCAATATATTTTTATTGCACTTATTGAGACTTAACCACTGTACGGAATTAATTAAACAAGAATATCAGACAAAACTCGATATCTTAATGGGGTAATACGAAAACTTTACGTAGTAGCAGCGATTTTCGAAATTAAATTAATTATACAATGACGGGTTTAACGAGCGTGAAAAAATGCGGTATTAAACGGTACCCATATGTCTAGTTACCGGATTAAATAAATTCCTTGGGGCGCTCTTGCCTTGTGACCGTGGAACAACACCCCCTGATATTTACATGCTTAATTTTATAATCCATCTTCACTAATCCTATTATAAAGGATACAAATAGTAAAAATCTTAAATAGCAACATTCCCTGCATGATAAATCCGTTCTTCGCACTGAGGGAAACTCGAGTTACCCTTTCGATGTCAAATTTTGTTCTCCTTGCACACGTTTGATGTAACTGCTTTTACCAGAAGTTACTACCATTTCCGTAAGGGATAGTTGCAAATACCAAAAAAATTTGGTATCGAAAACGTTTTAATAAAGTTAATCGCTAGCGTGCAGTTCCTCAAGCAAGCTGGGGTGTTGCTGTATTAATAAAAGTTTAAAAAGTCATTATGCAAACATAAATGACGAGAGCGTATTTTCCTCCTAATAATATTAATGCTAGGATCAGGAACAAATACCAGTAGGCACGACATCCTTACCCCATTCTCTTTCAGATGGGCCGCCTATCGCCGAAGTCTACACAGTTTAATGAAAAATAGTGGAGCGTATACAAATACATACAATACCTTCATAAATAAAATATACAGCATGTGTTAACAGTAATTTTGAAACCGGTATTAGTTTTAGTTTCATTCAAGGTGCCTACATAAGATATTTCGTTTAACTGCTTTCATAAATACGAAAGTTGCCATTGCGCATGCGCAAAACCAAATTTTAAAACTGGTGTTAGATTTGCTTGTATTCCAAGTGCCTATGTATTAAATTTCATTTAAATGCTTCAGTAAATAAGGAAGTTGGCATTGCGCATGCGCAAAACCAAATTTTGCAACTGGTGTTAGATTTGTCTTTATTCCAAATGGCTATGTATAAAATTTCATTTAAATGCTTTCATAAATAAGAAAGTTCGCATTGCGCATGCGCAAAACAACATTTTGAAATGTCGTTAATTTTACTTATATTCGTAGTGTTTACATGTAAAGTTTCATTTAAATATCTGTATAAATAAAAAAGTTAGGATCGCACATGCGTTAAACCAAATTTTTGACACTGCAATTGCGCAAAACGCAAAAAATATGGGTATGCACGGAATCCTTGGACTAAGCCCTTTCAAATGAGTCCTATATCGCCAAAATCGGTTCAGTGGTTTAGAATGAGTACGTGTGACGGGCAGACGGACGGACGGACGTCAAAGTGCAGCCAATAGCGATAAAGTAAGTTAATTGGGAAATATGTGACACCGTACTCGGGTAGGTGCATTTTCGGAAAATCGGCATATGAGTGGTTTTCTTTCCAGATTTGAACAAGGAAAATTAATTTCGTTTTACAATCGCCGAATCTAAAAATAGAAAAGTTATATACGCACTATATAAAACACTCTACGCATGCATTACATGATAATCCGCAACTACGTCGATGAACTAATCTATGCAGTAATTAATCCGTTATTCAAGAAAGAAGCACCTTGACATCAGGAAAGCTGAAGCTGTGTAAATCCGTAGAGTTCATCACTTTATTTTGAATATGAACGAACCTCAAATTTATGAAAATGTGGCTTGTATCTTGGTGTGTGAAGGAACTGAAGCCATTTAAAATTTTGGATCCAATATACTCAACATTTTGTAATTTCTGAGTTGTTATCGTCGATCGGATCGATTAGTGATTTATGTTGAGGGCGCTCTAATGGAATCAGCGTTTCAATGTCAAGGATTTTCTAAAAATTAAATTTGATACTATAGTGAGAACGACAAGGTAAGTTCAAATAGTTTCGATTGTTCGATTGATTAAGTCGGTGCAACCAATCTGTATAAATAAAAATGTATACAGTGCTATTCATGTAGAAGTAGACATAGAGATTTCCTATAGGAATTTTTTACATGATCAAAAGTCTCCTGATAGACGCCTAATTTTATGCAACCAAAGTAACTACCTACAACAAATGAGGATCTGCATGTTATATTAATTAATTTGAATATTATCTATTCCTATTCTAATTTCGGTTCGTGTGCGATGTATTCAACTAAAGAAAAAGTTGATATTTCCAATTGGTATAGTGCCGATAACTGTTAAAGGAGCTTAAGAGATTTATTTTCTGTGAAGCTAAAGGAACAATATTCAAATTATTATAATATGACAGCCAGATCTTTATTTGTTTCAAGAAGTTATTTTGGTTCCATAAAATTAGGCGTCTTTCAGGAGACTTTTTATCATGTAAAAATAGACATAGGAAATTCCTATAGGAAATGGAAGTCCCTATGTCTACTTCTACATGAATATCACTGTATGTACCCGCATAACTTCAGAACGATTGCACCAATTTAGATAATTATTTTTTGTTGCGGTGTGTTATTTAACAAGATAATGTTTGTATAAAAGATAATTTCCGAAAAATTGTACGGAATTGTACGTAAAAAAAAACATTTTTCTCTTTGCCGTCATGTTAAATCACAATATAGGTAACTAATAAATGGCGCGTATCAATTACGTATACCCGAAAAGGTTTCTCATGTAGTAAATGTGTGCAAGGTGTGTTAGTAAAACACCTCCATTCAACAATTCCCCGCGAATTGGAGCAGGAAAAAAACAGTACATTTAAACCGTAAGTTTCCTTGAAGGCGTTAAGGTGTACAAGAGACTTTCCGAAGTTCCCATGGGAACGGGGTAACGGAAAAAACGAGATTTCCAAAAGGCGATGGTTGGCTTGTAATAGGCAACGAGATGTGAAAAGGCGGTGATGATAAATTTGCGAGCTCATGGTGTGTGTATCTGCAGCCATTGCAGTCAATCGTTGAGGAGCAACTCCTACCTGTATTAGTAAGGTGGTAACAGCCCCCCCCCCCTCACTTCAAAGGGGTTGCAATGGCTTTGTCGTGGTGGCGTCCGTGATATTATCCTTTCTGAAGGAATGGCTGGTATTGCTTCCCTCTTGTTGATGTGGTCTTCGTTGGTCCTCTCGGCATAGTCGCGGTGCCGGAGGTCATCTATGTGAACCTTTTTTGATTTCTCGTTTGTCCCGACAAATCTAGTATGCGTTGATACTGGGCGGGGAAACGACTAGAGAGGGATCTTAGTGTGAACAGGATTATCGGGAGGAGTGTACCCGTAAGAGGTGATCGGGAGTTCATCGGTAGTCACAGTGCCCATCTTGTTAGCGCTGCCGTTCTTGCAACAAGAACAAGGGCGCTTTGGCGTCTTCAGGGTTAATTGCCTGTTCGAATTACTTCATCGTGTTTCGTTTGTTCGGATGGTATGTCAAAGGTATTGCACGAACTGTATCCCGAATTGCATTTGTTGATTGAAAGTCGCAGCCTGCATAGTCGTTTGACTACTAGGTATAGATCGTGGAGGTGACCTTCGATGTTGTGGGAATATATCACTAAGCCATGAAGGTAGGCCATCACGAACTTGTGTAGATACGCGGAACTTTTTGTGTCAATAGTTTTTGGAAGGTGATCAGCGCGGTTTCAACTCCAAACGTCATTATTCTAAACTACTATGCAACTCAATCGAGTTTCCAGTTATGAAGATTCCTCAAGGGGGACTGGCCACGCACCACCTTTAGTTTCTGCTCTCCTTCCTCGCCATTACTATCGTTGACAAGCAACCCCCTGTATGTAGGGTGACACGGTAACACCGGGAGAATTCTGTAAGCCGTACATACGAAGTTTACCTATAGGCAAACAATTATTTATTTTTTTAACAACTTTGCGTATAAACTTTCACGTGCTCATTTAAGTTAATATAATTAATTTCCATTGCAAATATTGTTAGACCATTTCAAAACGGCCGTTTTGGTTTTAAGTTAGTAACGGTACCTGAATATATATTTTTAAATTACCATGTGCATAACTATTTGC